TAAACATTTATTCGTTGTTTATTCGTCTGTCATTACTTGGTTACTGTGGAATCACACTGCATATGGCCAAAATATTTAATCTGAAGCGCTAGACATGAAATGGATGGCCTATACTGAAGTTTACATGCAGCTTCTCGATCTGTGACTAAAGAAAAAAATAATGACTCACCTTAATTGCATTTCCATAGTATATGAAATAAATTTTCCACGACATGAGTCTTTCTTCATTCTAAAAAATAATGCATGAAAAATAATGCAATCTTGTATTAGTCGAACACGAGATTAAAACTGGAGACGCAAGACCTATTAAACAGAAAGCTCGAAGAATTCCAACACACCAGAAGGCTGAGTTTGAGAAGATACTGAACAAGATGTTAAAACAATGTGTCGTAGAAATATCAGTTGGACCATATGCGAGTCCCATCGTGAAGAAGAAAGATGAATTACATAGGTTCTCTGTTGGTTATCAAGCCTTGGAAGAAGTTACTAAGAAAGATGCTTATACGCTACCGAGGATAGACCAAACTTTGGATTGCCTCGATGGAGTGAAATGGTTCAGTACAGCCGATTTACTTTCGGGATATTGGCAGGTGAATGTTAAAGCCGAAGATAGACCAAAGAAGTGGAATTTTTAGGACATGTTGTTTCCTCGGAAGGTATAGCTACAGATCCGAGTAAAATAAAGATCAAGAATTGTCAACCTCCAAAGGATGTGAAGGAGCTGCAGTTACTAACGCAGGGTTATTGAGGGTCATGCCAAGATAGCTAACCCGTTACACAAGTTAACAGAAAAGGGACGATAATATTTATGGAGTGACGAGTATCAGCGAGCGTTTGAGGCCCTTAAGGAGAAGTCTACCGTTTATACTTGACACAGATGCAAGTGATGGTGGAATAGGAGCCGTGCTCTCCCAAATTGTAGAAAGAGTTGTTGCTTATGCGAGTCGTAGACTGTCGAATAGCGAACGCAATTATTGTGTTACGAGGAGAGAATTGCTCGCTGTTGTTAACTTCGTCAAGCATTTTAACCTTTACCTCTATGGTCGTAAGTTCACAGTTAGGACTGATCATGGAGCTCTTAGGTGGCTCCTAAACTTCAAGAATCCCGAGGGTCCAATTGCTCGATGGATAGAAATATTTTCGGCATTTGACTATGGAATTATACACAGAACTGGTAGAGTGCATGGAAATGCGAACGCTCTATCGAGGAATAGAGTCGTGAATTTAATAGAAGTGAATTCTGATATGTTTGATAGACAGCAGGCTGGTGTGGAGATTTGAGATTGATAAAGTGGAAAGAAGAAGGCGTGAAACCAGATTAAGAACAGTTTCACCTGCGAGCCCTTTACTCTGTAACCTCTTAAGAATAGCTAAGACGAGGACAACCCCTTATAGACCGGAATCCAATGGACAGGACAGGTGGAAAGAATGAATCGAACGCTGAAATCAATGTTATCGTCGTATGTGCATGACAACTGGGATGATGTATTGGCATACGTCATGTATGCATACCGAGCGACAGTGCACCAGTCCGCCAACTCAACTCCCAATTTGCTAATGTTTGGACGAGAGGTTCACAACACCAGTTGATTTGTTCGTTGGTTTGCCACCTGGAAAGGTTTATCCAGAAGAGAGGAGTTGGAGTAAAGCAGTAAGGGCCATGATGGAGGAAGCTCACCCCTATACAAGAGAATTTCTTGAGGGCCAACTCAAGAGACAGAAGAATTATTATGATCCAGTTCGTGGTCGTGCTCGTTTTCAGGTGAACTCGAAAGTGTGGTTGTACACTCCTGTGGAGAAAGGAGGAATCCCCTGTAAAAGTACTTGAGTGGACCTTGTACGGTCTTAAGGGAGATCTCTGATATTACGTACGAAATCCACGATGACGCGTCGAGTCGTATTCAAGTTGTTCATATTGATCGTTTGCGTCAATATTAAGTCCGACCGAGTCAATTCGAAATGAACGATGATATCGAGTCAGGAAATGAACTTGAGAACGAGGAAGACATTCGAGAATTCGTAAACGAGGAGATTGTTGAATGCGATCAAGCGAGTGAGTTAGATACTCTGGGATTCCGCACTCATGGATGACGACTATCTGGACGCCCCGCATATTAAGAGAACTCTATTTATTAAATGGTGTTGATGTTTAATATGAATGTGATTGTGTTATCAGCAGGAGAATGTGCTGTGCAGTGACTGTTGTTCTTAATGTTATCAGCCGAGGACTGTGCTGTTATGGGGCTATTTTTGTATTGTGCCACGTATTTTTATTATTCTTTGTATTGTGTAAATGCCAGACGCCGAGGCGTGGGTAATGTAATAACCAGCAGTTCATATTCCAAATCTAATCTTTTTTGTAATTTTTTTATTCTTAACTTCTGGTTGAGCGCCTGGTTATTTGTTACCTTCGTCTACGCATTGTAAGTTTGCCTACTTCATCTTTAATATTGCATTTTATATATGTCATTTTCATGATACGTTAGGGTTTTCCTTTCGCAAAAGAGGTACGATTCAATAATTAGGATAAGTGTCATTTCATCTTTTATGCATTATTACGTTTGGTATAAATTTCCTATAGTCGCGATTTTCTAGCCATGTTTGCCCTATTCTTACGATAGGTTGCGCTAGGAATATGGCATGTGACCTGGAATAGAACCTTTGGATGGAACAGTGACTCCCTTCGGATATAAATCTTCGAATTCTAATTCTTTGCTCGAAAAATCCGCTGATAAAAATATCAAATATAAATTGACAAATCTTCTAGTAGTTGCCAATTTGAATCGTAGACTTGTAGATCGAATAGGCTTAATTGTTGTTATCTCTCTTGAAAGCGTTGTAACATAAAATTCAATGAAAACTCCCAGACAGGTATAATCTGGGCGTCAGAGACTAATATCCTCGTCATAGACAGGTATAATCTTGGCGTCAGACACTAATATCCTCGTCATAGACAGGTATAATCTGGGCGTCAGAGACTAATATCCTCGTCATAGACAGGTATAATCTGGGCGTCAGAGACTAATATCCTCGTCATAGACAGGTATAATCTGGGTGTCAGAGACTAATATCCTCGTCATAGACAGGTATAATCTGGGCGTCAGAGACTAATATCCTCGTCATAGACAGGTATAATCTGGGCATCAGAGACTAATATCCTCGTCATAGACAGGTATAATCTGGGCGTCAGAGACTAATATCCTCGTCATAGACAGGTATAATCTGGGTGTCAGGACTAATATCCTCGTCATAGACAGGTATAATCTGGGCATCAGAGACTAATATCCTCGTCATAGACAGGTATAATCTGGGCATCAGAGACTAATATCCTCGTCATAGACAGGTATAATCTGTGTGTCGGACACTAATATCCTCGGTATAATCTGGGTGTCAGAGACTAATATCCTCGTAATATACAGGTATAGTCTGGGCGTCAGAGACTAATATCCTCGTCATAGACAGTTATAATCTGGGTGTCAGAGACTAATCTCCTCGTCATAGACAGGTATAATCTGGGTGTCAGAGACTAATCTCCTCGTCATAGACAGGTATAATCTGGGTGTCAGAGACTAAAATCCTCGTAATAGACAGGTATAATCTGGGCGCCAGAGACTAATATCCTCGTCATAGACAGGTATAATGTAGGTGTCAAAGACTAATATCCTCGTCATAGACAGGTATAATCTGGGCGCCAGAGACTAATATCCTCGTCATAGACAGGTATAATCTGGGCATCAGAGACTAATATCCTCGTCATAGACAGGTATAATCTTGGCATCAGAGACTAATATCCTCGTCATAGACAGTTATAATCTTGGCATCAGAGACTAATATCCTCGTCATAGACAGGTATAATCTGGGTGTCAGAGATTAATATCCTCGTCAAAGACAGGTATAATCTGGGCGTCAGAGATTAATATCCTCGTCATAGACAGGTATAATCTGGGCGTCAGAGACTAATATCCTCGTCATAGACAGGTATAATCTGGGCGTCAAAGACTAATCCTCGTCATAGACAGGTATAATCTGGTTGTCAGGATTAATATCCTCGTCATAGACAGGTATAATCTGGGCGTCAGGACTAATATCCCCGTCATAGACAGGTATAATCCGGGCGTCAGAGATTAATATCCTCGTCATAGACAGGTATAATCTGGGCGTCAGAGATTAATATCCTCGTTATAAACAGATATAATCTAGGCGTCAGAGACTAATATCCTCGTTGTAGACAGGTATAATCTGGGCGTCGGAGACTAATATCCTCGTCATAGACAGGTATAATCTGGGCGTCAGAGATTAATATCCTCGTCATAGACAGGTATAATATGGGCGTCAGAGACTAATAACCTCGTCATAGACAGGTATAATCTGGGCGTCAGAGACTAATATCCTCGTCATAGACAGGTATAATCTGGGCATCAAAGACTAATATCATCGTCATAGACAGGTATAATCTGGGCGTCAGAGACTAATATCCTCGTCATAGACAGGTATAATCTGGGCGTCAGAGATTAATATCCTCGTCATAGACAGGTATAATCTGGGCGTCAGAGACTAATATCCTCGTCATAGACAGGTATAATCTGGGCGTCAGAGATTAATATCCTCGTCATAGACAGGTATAATCTGGGCGTCAGAGACTAATATCCTCGTCATAGACAGGTATAATCTGTGCGCCATAGATTAATATCCTCGTCATAGACAGGTATAATCTGGGCGTCAGAGACTAATATCCTCGTCATAGACAGGTATAATCTGGGCGTCAAAGACTAATATCCTCGTCATAGACAGGTATAATCTGGGCGTCAAATACTAATATCCTCGTCATAGACAGGTATAATCTGAGTGTCGGAGACTAATATCCTCGTCATAGACAGGTATAATCTGGGCGTCAAAGACTAATCTCGTCATAGACAGGTATAATCTGGGCATCAGAGACTAATATCCTCGTCATAGACAGGTATAATTTAAACAGAACTCTAGTCCCATACGAGATAGTGTCACACATCGTGGTTCATCTTTACATTTATTCCCGTGGTGACCTCTGAAATAAACGAAAAGTAATGATATTTTAGTATATCAGATACCATATGTGATACAGACCGTCTCTTGTGGTGTGAGTAATACACACTAGAAATATTAAACATATATTACCTGGACAATCTCTCTCTACTTTCCATTTACCATTTTCACCACACGTCAGAGTACCCGTCAGACCAAGAGAACAGTTAAAACTAAAATTATCACCAAATATTCTTGATTCTGTTACATCATCAGAGTTAGTGATATTCAAACCTTGTGGACACTCTACAGCTGGTAATAAAATAAATTTATAAGATAATGATTTGAGATTTTGTTAATATAAGGAGCATTGATCTAGATCCAATTGTTTTTATATAGATCAGGGGGTTCAACCTTTTTCTTTCTAATACCCCTTTCAGAATCCTCAATCGATCGCATTACCTCCCTTATCTCTATAGATTTAAGTTAAAAACTGTTACCTTGACAAGCTTCTTGTTCTATCCACATATCATTTTCACCACACCTCAGAATACCCGTCACACCATTCTTAGTGTAGCCAACAGAACAGTTATAACTAAAATCTTATTCAAATATTTTAGATTCTGTTACATCATTAGAGTTAGTGATATTCACACCTTGTGGACACTCTACAGTTAAGAGTAAAATAAAATCATAAGATAATGACACGGGATTTGATAAAAGGAGTAAAATTGATCTAGATATACGTACGAACTCGATGCTTTCTATTTTAGTCCTAATTCTTAACTTTATTTCCGAACGAAACATCCTGTCTGCAAAATCTACACCTACATCATAATGTATAGAGCTTGTGTGGAAACTGATTCTTACCTTGACAAGCTGGTTCCAAAATCCAGACTCCGTTTTACAAGGTGTTGAACTTGTGATACATATCCTCTTTTGCACTTGAATCGTTTATTGTCTTCACAGCTATCTCTTGGAATCCACATCGTATTTATTGGTAGATTATACTTATCACAATTTACAACAAAATAAGATAAGTGTATAACATTATAGTCTAATATTTATTCTTCATCTTAAAAATATAGTGATAGAACAAACCTGTAATTTTAAACCATTGTGGAAATCCAGCTGAGATTTCCTAATTGAGGAATAGTTACAGATAATGCAAACGAATTCGTCTTCCCAGCCTATTTCAATCTGGACCGTCCCTGCTATACCTACCTATTTTATCCCAAAACGTTTTCGCCATGTAGGGGTAACGTTTAGGACTCGCCACTGGTAATGTTCCGACCCACAGCAAGACCACCATCAACATCAAATTAGCATTGACCATCATATTGATTCGATAATCAAGTTTTATAATCAGTGAAAATTGTGTGGGTTTATATAGAAACGTAGATAGATACAGATACTAAATCGATACAGCAGAAATAGAGAACATGTCGTGTAGATATTTTTAATGAATTTCATCTTGGTATATTTTATAATATCTGGTGGTAACGAGTTTTGAAGTAAATGACGAATGAAGACTTATTCAGAACCCACTAAAAGCTGGGTCGACTGGAATAATGATGAAAGATGATTTATTCAGTACTATTTACAGCTGAGTCGACTGGAATAATGATGAAAGATGACTTATTTAGTACTATTTACAGCTGGGTCGACTGGAATAATGATGAAAGATGATTTATTTAGTACTATTTACAGCTGGGTCGACTGGAATAATGATGAAAGATGATTTATTTAGTACTATTTACAGCTGGGTCGACTGGAATAATGATGAAAGATGATTTATTTAGTACTATTTACAGCTGGGTCAACTGGAATAATGATGAAAGATGATTTATTCAGTACTATTTACAGCTGGGTCGACTGGAATAATGATGAAAGATGATTTATTTAGTACTATTTACAGCTGGGTCGACTGGAATAATGATGAAAGATGATTTATTCGGTACTATTTACAGCTGGGTCGACTGGAATAATGATGAAAGATGATTTATTTAGTACTATTTACAACTGAGTCAACTGGAATAATGATGAAAGATGACTTATTCGGTACTATTTACAGCTGGGTCGACTGGAATAATGATGAAAGATGATTTATTCGGTACTATTTACAGCTGGGTTGACTGGAATAATGATGAAAGATGATTTATTCGGTACTATTTACAGCTGGGTTGACTGGAATAATGATGAAAGATGATTTATTTAGTACTATTTACAGCTGAGTCGACTGGAATAATGATGAAAGATGACTTATTCGGTACTATTTACAGCTGGGTCGACTGGAATAATGATGAAAGATAACTTATTTAGTACTATTTACAGCTGGGTCGACTGGAATAATGATGAAAGATTACTTATTCGGTACTATTTACAGCTGAGTCGACTGGAATAATGATGAAAGATGACTTATTTAGTACTATTTACAGCTGGGTCAACTGGAATAATGATGAAAGATGATTTATTCGGTACTATTTACAGCTGGGTCGACTGGAATAATGATGAAAGATGATTTATTTAGTACTATTTACAGCTGGGTTGACTGGAATAATGATGAAAGATGATTTATTTAGTACTATTTACAGCTGGGTCGAATGGAATAATGATGAAAGATGATTTATTCGGTACTATTTACAGCTGGGTCGACTGGAATAATGATGAAAGATGATTTATTCGGTACTATTTACAGCTGGGTCGACTGGAATAATGATGAAAGATGATTTATTCGGTACTATTTACAGCTGAGTCAACTGGAATAATGATGAAAGATGATTTATTCGGTACTATTTACAGCTGAGTCAACTGGAATAATGATGAAAGATGATTTATTCGGTACTATTTACAGCTGGGTCGACTGGAATAATGATGAAAGATGATTTATTTAGTACTATTTACAGCTGGGTCGACTGGAATAATGATGAAAGATGATTTATTTAGTACTATTTACAGATGGGTCGACTGGAATAATGATGAAAGATGATTTATTTAGTACTATTTACAGCTGAGTCAACTGGAATAATGATGAAAGATGATTTATTTAGTACTATTTACAGCTGAGTCGACTGGAATAATGATGAAAGATGATTTATTCGGTACTATTTACAGCTGTGTCGACTGGAATAATGATGAAAGATGATTTATTTAGTACTATTTACAGCTGAGTCAACTGGAATAATGATGAAAGATGACTTATTTAGTACTATTTACAGATGAGTCAACTGGAATAATGATGAAAGATGATTTATTTAGTACTATTTTACAGATGAGTCAACTGGAATAATGATGAAAGATGATTTATTTAGTACTATTTTACAGCTGAGTCAACTGGAATAATGATGAAAGATGATTTATTCAGTACTATTTACAGCTGAGTCAACTGGAATAATGATGAAAGATGACTTATTTAGTACTATTTACAGATGAGTCAACTGGAATAATGATGAAAGATGATTTATTTAGTACTATTTTACAGATGAGTCAACTGGAATAATGATGAAAGATGATTTATTTAGTACTATTTACAGCTGGGTCGACTGGAATAATGATGAAAGATGATTTATTTAGTACTATTTACAGCTGGGTCGACTGGAATAATGATGAAAGATGATTTATTCAGTACTATTTACAGCTGGGTCGACTGGAATAATGATGAAAGATGATTTATTCAGTACTATTTACAGCTGGGTCGACTGGAATAATGATGAAAGATGATTTATTCGGTACTATTTACAGCTGGGTCGACTGGAATAATGATGAAAGATGATTTATTCGGTACTATTTACAGCTGGGTCGACTGGAATAATGATGAAAGATGATTTATTCGGTACTATTTACAGCTGGGTCGACTGGAATAATGATGAAAGATGATTTATTCAGTACTATTTACAGCTGTGTCAATTGGAATAATGATGAAAGATGATTTATTCAGTACTATTTACAGCTGGGTTGACTGGAATAATGATGAAAGATGATTTATTCAGTACTATTTACAGCTGTGTCGACTGTAATAATGATGAAAGATGATTTATTTAGTACTATTTACAGCTGGGTTGACTGGAATAATGATGAAAGATGATTTATTCAGTACTATTTACAGCTGTGTCGACTGGAATAATGATGAAAGATGATTTATTCAGATTAGAGAATTCAAGAAACATGTTTCTATGATTCACTGAATCGATAGAACGGAAACAGAGAACATGGTGTGGATATGTTTAATGTATATTATTCTGATTCAGTCCCGACAGCTGGTGGTAATGTAAAATTTGATGTCACGTCGTTCTTACAGTTTCGTCACCTCAATCTTGTCCTTTCAGTGGAAAAATATCAGCATATGATCCCTCAGAGAGGTTGCCTAATTAACAGACTAGTGAGTAGGGTTTCCTTTCACAAAGACTTCATAAATTACATGTCCATACATAAACTATTACTAACAGTTTTAAGCGTTTCATAAATCCCACGTAAGTCTCGGGTGCCCGTTAGTTACGATTAAATCCACCCGTAACTTACGAATGGTCCGAACTGCCCGTAAGCTACGACGTAAATGTTTATTAGGCTGGGTATTGATGAAATTCAGTCTAAAAATAGAAATACTTGGTTCATTCAATATATAACAAGTAGTGGCGGCGCCAGCCGTCTTTGACTGGGGGTCATAGTCGCAACCTCTCATAAAACGTCTTAGACGGTTCTCTCAAGAACATTTCAGAAAAAATGAATTGATTTTGTGCATTCTGACACATATTTTGGAGAAAAAGGTAGACATTTAGATTTGTTGAAAAAGTGGGGGTACAATTGGGGGTGCAAACCACTTTTCATTTTATTCTCATTATTGTAATTTTCACAGTCCATCTTCTCTTCAATATTAGAATATATTTCTTTACACATTCACATCGGGATGGTTATGACAGCCTAATTTACTCCCTCCTTCATTTGTGAGTGTGACAGTTTTTGTCGTATTTTTAACAGGCTGTCTTATTGTACGTCTGAATGTCCTCTAATGTACATCTGAATAATAATAACAGATGAGAAAGAACATTTAAAGATTAGGGTGGTTGGAAGGTAATTGGAGAAATAGAGTTTTACTGTTCTGTATTTACATGTATTTGAGCTAATGAAATGAAATAGAGTTTTACTGTTCTGTATTTACATGTATTTGAGCTAATGAAATGAAATAGAGTTTTACTGTTCTGTATTTACATGTATTTGAGCTAATGAAATGAAATAGAGTTTTACTGTTCTTAATGAAATGAAATAGAGTTTTACTGTTCTGTATTTACACGTATTTGAGCTAATGAAATGAAATAGAGTTTTACTGTTCTGTATTTACATGTATTTTAGCTAATGAAATGAAATAGAGTTTTATTGTTCTGTATTTACATGTATTTTAGCTAATGAAATGAAATAGAGTTTTACTGTTCTGTATTTACATGTATTTGAGCTAATGAAATGAAATAGAGATTTACTGTTCTGTATTTACATGTATTTGAGCTAATGAAATGAAATAGAGTTTTACTGTTGTGTATTTACATGTATTTGAGCTAATGAAATGAAATAGAGTTTTACTGTTCTGTATTTACATGTATTTTAGCTAATGAAATGAAATAGAGTTTTATTGTTCTTTATTTACACGTATTTGAGCTAATGAAATGAAATAGAGTTTTACTGTTCTGTATTTACATGTATTTTAGCTAATGAAATGAAATAGAGTTTTATTGTTCTTTATTTACACGTATTTGAGCTAATGAAATGAAATAGAGTTTTATTGTTCTGTATTTACATGTATTTTAGCTAATGAAATGAAATAGAGTTTTACTGTTCTGTATTTACATGTATTTGAGCTAATGAAATGAAATAGAGTTTTACTGTTCTGTATTTACATGTATTTTAGCTAATGAAATGAAATAGAGTTTTATTGTTCTTTATTTACACGTATTTGAGCTAATGAAATGAAATAGAGTTTTACTGTTCTGTATTTACATGT